AGGATGTTAGGCTCCAAAAACTGTTGAACTAGCTCATATTGAGGTGGGTGGGCACCGTGAGTCTATTACTACTCTTAGACATCATAACACAATCAAATTTTATTTTTAAAAATTACATGAAGAATATGCAGCTAGAAGTGATGGAAGTTCTCAAGCTAGGCTCCTACTATGGCGACAAGCTCTTTCCCAAGTTCGGGACCATATTCTTATGAAATTAACAGGCATATGCTAATTGACCAACTAACTGGTTGTATTGGTAGTGGTGGTACTGATGGCGAAGTGGAAGTATCTAAAATTGAACAATATTTTTCTGCATGTTTACTTAGGGGTCACAATGGACAGATATGCGATATTTTGCAATGGTCGAAAGTATATGGAACGACTTCGTGTCATGTTCTTTTCATCATGGCTCGTGATTTACTAATAGCGCAGGTTTTTACTATAGCTTTGGAATGTGCCTTCAGCGCATCACGATGGTTGATTGATGACAACAGAACACCACTGGATCTAGCTACTATACAGATGGTAATGTGCTTATAGGATTGGTGGGTGTTAGAAAAGAAAGATCAAAACCTCGACCATGTTGTTAATATCTAAGATAGGATTCAAGATTTGATGATAGCAAATGCTGCAGTAGAACAAAGATAGAAGATGTCAAGCTAGTCTAATTGTGATGTACTCATTTGTGAAAAAATAATTTAGAAAGAGTTGCAAATGATATTGATATAGATGGGTAGGTGTCAATCTAGTTGAGATGTACTCATATATTGTGATGCGGTAATTTTTAAAAAAAAATATTGTAACTTTGTAATTGTTAGAGATTATGAGATTATTAATACAATTGAATTTTTTGTGAGTTGTAATTTGTAAATACTTCTAAGTTCTAAAGTTCCTTTTTTTGGCAAAAAAAATTTTTTTTTTATTTTTTTGTTAAAAAGAAAATATTTAAGTTAAAAAATGTTGAAAATTCCTGGCTGTCTCAGATCCCAACTCAGCTGATCCAGGCCCAGGTCCGGGCAGGGCTTGTAACCCAGGCCTCTTGGAAAAGCCTAGGGAAAATACAGAAATAATTGAACCGATAAGAAGAAGAAAGAAAGAACTCATGTCAAGCCTTAGACCCTAATAAGCTTGTTATACATATAACGTTTTCCTAAATTTGAGTCCACTAGATCTTGCCACGTGTGTATCCAAGTCGGCAACCAAAACGCCTAGTCATCACTCGCCATGGGGGTTCATAGAGAAAAGAGAGTCAATCCAAATGTCCAGCCTACAGCCTCGAATGGCCACATAGGCGGACGACAGTAATATGTGACATGTTCTGGATGACCTCATTTCGGCCTTCTGTGCTATAGTTGAGGCTGGAAAACGTGTCAAAGAGAGCTCGCTTGTTTAGGAGATCACATCAAATCGCATGATATCCTTAAAACTCGTATTGGCTAAAACGCCAATTTGGTTTTATCCTAGAAACCACCTTAAAAATAAGGTAATTATATAGAAATCATCTTTGAATATCCATTCATACATAACCACATTTAAAACGGGTTAGTGTTACTATCAACCACCCCCTGATCAAATTTTTAGTAAAAAACCAAAAATAATCCTAAACGTTCACACGTCGGTATGCGCCTTGCATCTAAACTAGTCCTAAACACTAACAAAATGAGTCGCATGTCTTAAATGTGAGTTTTAAGGTATTTTTTTGGGGGGTCCTTCCCTCTTTTGTTAGTTACGGTGTTGATGTCTTCATCTAGTGAATCAAATTGTGTTCGACTTGAATGCACTTGCATTGAAAATGCCAAAATGGTTAAGAAGATAAGGATAAGCAGTACATTAAGTCAATGATATAAATGAAACACTAAAACAAATACTGTTCTGGGCTGAATTTAAATGTAGTCAACAATTTAACAGACAAGGGCCCGATAGCAAGCATCTGAAATGTCACAAAATAACCGAGGATAGATGATTAAGCTTTCAATATTTAAGAATGAGCAATTCTAAGTAGAAACAAACTTAGAAATCGTTATACTCCTAAATCTAAGTAAAATTTCGAGAGAGAAAATGAGTCTAGAATCTATAAAGCAATTTTGTTATTTGAATTGGAATAAGATTACTATTTGGGCCATAATATGTCCTAGAAAATAATGTAAGACCCCTGGTTTAAATTTTAAAGCAATGACATTTGTTATTTTCTTTTTGATATTTTATAGAAATGAACGACCTGCATTACAAGAACAACCAGCAATATGCATGAGGATCAAAGGAAAATAATTCAGGTTTTGCAATTCTAGCAGCTCAGCTATTATGAATTCATTACTGCTGATAAGTTCAAGAACAATCAAGTTAATCAACAAAATCACTTCAAATAGGAACCATAAATAATTAAGTTCTGGATATTAAGCATACAAACTTCGACTTCCCACTCGAAGGTTGTGATGAAATTTAATGGCGACGACTTAAAATTTGATAAGTGAGCCCTACATTTTTCGACGCCTGCATTCTCATGGTGGAGTCCGACCGGTGGTTTCTAATGACATTTTTCTCTTTCTTTTTATTGCAGATATTTTCGATAAGATAGAACGGCATGGATGGAATATTAGGAACAAGCAACAATTTGCTATCAAATTCAAATGAAGATAATTTAGGTTCTATATTTATGGCAATTATGCATCACAAATCATCTTTGCTAATGAAATAAATCGATCCTTACCATTTGTTTTGATTGTGAAGATGGGCATAGAGTCATAGACACAGAAGATTGAGATTTTTGAAGGGGAAAAAGTTAAAACTTCAACGGACGTCCTGCATTTTAAACTCTGTCAAGAACTATACTCTTGAAGTTCTGCCTACTCTTCTAGATAAACTGTCTTAAGATTATGGACGACCTATTTTGCACGAAAAATTCACGACGACACTAAGCACTCCAAATCACAACATTAATAAAAACAGCAATAAAGCCTTTATTCCAGCTATAATAAGATATGATTTCCTCTATAAGCTGATATCCCTTGTAAAAAAAAAGTTGACGAAAACACATCTATGCTCCAAATTCACCAAGTTTTGATAATAGGTTACTTTTTAAAGCTTGAAGCCATACAAAAAAAAAAGTTCATCAAGGTAAAAGTAGAACCTTAAAAATAATTTCCATTTATAAAGGATATACTTTTTATCCACGGACTGTTTGGAGAACACCCATTGAGACAAGCACTACTGTTAGATTAAAAAGATCTTCAAAACGACTAATTGATTCAACCACCTACATAAATATGTGATTTTGAGACTCCTTCCACATCTATATCTGACCATGCTCGATGTACTACGTAATTTCAAGGACACATCAGGCAGTTGATAGCCAATTCATCGATTCATCCAACATTCGTCAAAAGTTCACAACTTCATGGGATTTTGCATTTAGCTTAACATTTGGGAAAATAAGTTGCCAGCTATACAGAATACAACTACATAGTCTGTATATGTGGCCACATAGTCTGTATATGTGGACGTAAGCTCCACGTATACTGCACAAGTGACTACATAAGCTGGGAACAGTAATCTTATAGAGGACGCTCTACAGAAAGTCATGCAGGGAGGAAGAATGCCGTGTCACTTGTCTCCCTAACAATTCTAAAACAACAGTCAATATGCGATGTTAGTGCAATCAGAAGATTGTACTGGATGAATCATCAATATAGTCTCAAAGCAATCAGAGCATCAGACTACAAGTCCATTTCACATACCGACCTCAACATTTGTGCTGCACAATTGTCGTGATCTGCTTCCTCCTTATATGATTTTTATAGAGGACCCTCCATAGAAACTTTTTTCTCCGACAAACTGCAGCGGGTTCTACCAGTTGGGATTGCCAACCCAAATCAGGAGAGGTTCCATTTTTAGACACTTTCCTTGTAGCCACTTTTTTCTTTGCCTTCTTCAACATCAAACAAAACGAGTTTCCAGGTTCTGAATTTCACTTTTCCCCCCTTCTCATTTTCTCCCGCATTCTCGCACTCAGCGGAGATGTAAAACTTAATTACATTCTCAACTTCACAGTTTGGCTCTTCTATATTTTCAAATTTTTGATCTGTTAATTTTTTTTCTTAATTATTGAAGTACTGTATGAAATAAGATATACAGTATGCATCCCCTGGCATGAGGGCCTACTGCTGCTATCTGAGGATTTCACTAACAAAAAGATAGGATATCTACTTCAGCACATGATATTTTTCTAGTTGTTTCATATAATTCAAGGTTAGAAGTTCCAGCTACTATATTTGCAGCCACAGATATTATGGCTCCTCTACTGTTATGTGAAGAGATAAGATATATGTTAACCTAAGCAGAGAAGCACAATGTTTTGAATATACATATACATGAAGGCAAAGAGTATATAAACCTCTCAGATTTCTTACTGACCATTGTTCAAACTTTGTTTATGCTTGTAAATAAAAAAGAATGACGACATTTATCTACTTAACGGTACTTTTATATTGACAAATGACTGACATTTCACAGTGCACGGTGGAGGAATATGCAGTTCAAGGAACATATGTACGGAGATAATGGTTGTGCATCATATCAGCAGAAAATTATTGAGATGCAATCCCAATAAGGGCCACAGCCCAAGGAAACCCGTAGATAAAGAATGAGAATGATATAAGTTTTAAAGTGAACACAATGGAAGCATTCTTCATAAAACCTAAATGAAGTAACAAAATAATGACTATGAATAGCATTTGATATCAATAGTCATTCAGAACATTGTGTATGAGTACGTGCAAGTGTGTCGGCACAATCATCGTCATGTGCATCTCTTGTATCTTAATCCATAATAAGTACTTTAAGCCATGTACAAGAGAAATCATGTCCATTTTTTTTTCTAATCCACAACAAATACTTTCAAGGGAATAACAGCATACCTCTTACAAGTAGAGGATATCTTCTTGCCATTCTGTTGAAGCAATAACATTTTCATTGTTGATCACATGAATTTCATTAAAAACACCTGAAAGCATAACCGTTCTAAAAATTCTGTCATAAAAAAGATGAATGTTCAGGGAAAGGTACAAGTGTATCTCAAAAGTGTAATATTGAAATAAGGAAGAAGCTAGAGTACATCACTTGTTCAAAATTCAAAATAAACACAACTTTATACATTCAAGTTGTACCAAGTACTTATCTAGATAGCCAAGTGGAAATGCCTAGCAATAATATCATGGATCCCAGACCATACTTCACTAAAGCATCAGTATCCTCATTCTCCAATTTCTCTTGCATACTATCCATCCATGCATGGAAAGGGCACTCAGGCTCCTGGAGAGCTCATATTATTAGAATTTGCAAAAACCACTTATTTTGGAGGAAAAAATCACAAACTAACCTTCTTGTCCTCATTTGTTCTCGTTGCATCAGCATCACTCTGCAATGCTCTTCTTCCCTCATCATGATCTTTAAAAAAGGTTTCTCCTTCAATTTCAGGTGGAGCCTGGAAGCCAGTGTATGCTGAGTCCGTGTGAATTGTCTTCATAACTGAGCCAAAAAAGTTTGTCACGGGCACCTGATCACAGGAAAACATAGAGAGAAAAACTCTCCTCGTGAGATGAAGCTTTAATTGGCAAATTTCGGTAGTATTGTAGAAATAAATAGTATACATGGCACCTGAAGTCACATCACTCGTACCTCATTTAGGGATCGCTGATAGAGGTCCGTGCGATAATAAGCAGTAGACATCAGCAGTGCTGGGTTATACGAATTGAAAAGACTATATGTACCAAATTTCTATTAATTAGTACAAACAGCTAAATTATATACATTTACAGTCAGAAATTCAGAAATAAACGATACAAAAATTGGTCAATTGAATTGTCCGAGAAGCCTGTAGGCCTAATTCTTGACCAATTGACACATTTAGGTAAGTTATTTAATCTTTTACCAAGGGAAAAAATGAAATAGCAAAAAAAGATGAGAAAATATTAAATTCAATGAAAAAGCATGTTCATGATAAATACTGCATGGATAAGCCTAGAAATCAACAGAATGGGAGTCAAAACTATGTAAATACAGTTAAAAAAATTATACTCCAAGATACCTAAGTCATTTTCAATAATGTTCACATGAAACTAAAAAGTGAGCGAAAACAAGTTACAGAATCTTTACCTGCTCAGTGAGGCATTGCTGTACATGTTCAGCTTCTCAAAGAAAGCAAGGGTGTAGTAAGTAAACCTATCAACCACCGAAACACCTATCTGCATAGAGCAGAGAAGGAATTAACAGAGAAGTCAGAATGCACGGAAAATGATCATTAGTACAGGACAGCATTCACTTCAGTAACTGCAGAAAGACACTTCCTTACGTCAGAGTCAAGATGATGAGAGTATGAATTTTCTCCTTTCTTACTACTACCGATTGCCAAAACTCCAGGGGAATGAAGCTGCAGAATTTAAGAGAGGCATTACGTGACTTTAAATTGGTAATAATATTCAGATGTTGCAGGAGTACCAATGAGAACAACAATATACATTGACCAACAATTTTCAGAATCAAGATTGCAGTTAAAGCACATATAATGGCTTTATAAACTCCCTGGACTCCATGAACCAAAGAAAAATACCAAAATCTGCTAAAACTTTATGTGGTCAGTTTTAAAATTTAAATATAAACAGTAATCAAGAACTTATTGATTTGAAGGAAAAACATATGATGCTAAGTTTGGACTACTATGTTTTATGTGCACTGTTGTTTTTATTTAAAACATAGTGGTCATAAGTGTATTGGGCCTTCTGAAACTACATGAATTAAACAATTAAAAAGTTTCAAGCTTTGGGTCTGGAAATATTTCCTATGCACAGAGATAGAGAATGAGAGAAATTTCAGTGTTGGATAGACCTGATGGTTGCCAGCGGCTACAACTAACAGAAACCTCTCACTTAACAAAGAGAGATTAAAAAAAGAACTGAGAAGCTTTTGTAGTAAAATTTCTGTAAAACATGAACATGTGCGGAAGTGGAAATTGGAAGAAAGATGCAAGATTCTTTACACATTACAACCACCCACAATGGGTTATAAAAACAAACTGCCACCACCGTGCTTAATTGATACTAAAGGGAGCTTTGGGGAACTCTTTTTAATGGATATTGGATCCTAGAATATATACTTCAGATCCACTATAACTCTTCGTGGTCCATTTATGGATCCAAATTTTGTAAGTGATCTACAATCCAGGATTGCTTCAATCCTATATTTCATCAGATTCTTCTTCGAATTTAGCTTATCCAAATCTAGCATTCCTCAAAATATACCACTTTCTCGAGAACTAAAGAAACTGAAAAGTCACCTTAATGCAGGAGACTAAATCTAAACCCTAACCACATTAAAATTTCTCAAATAGGTAATTTACAATTTGAAATTTTGCATATATGCCACCTCAAATCTTCCATATTAGCAATTTTTTCCTTCATATTAGTAATTGCAAAAATTCCCACAGTTCTATCACATTGGTTTTTTTACCACCCCCACTTAACATTATTGGTTTCCAAATAGGGCAATGTCAAAATTTTCCAATAATTTCCAATATGTTTGCAACATTTAAAATTAAAACTTTGAAGTGGGAGGATAGAAAAACTCGAAGGAAAGGAATTTTGCAAATATCAAGATTTGGGGGGTAAATTTACAAATATGGAAGATTTGAGGAGTACATACGCAAAAAAAAAACCTTGAATAAAAGCAGGACTTAGTTCCTAGTTACTAAGAAAAAATTACATATGTACGTAATACAACAACAAGGCCTTAATTACAAACTTTCATGCAACAACATGCATACTTTTTTTCATTCCAGCTCTCTTAAGGTCCAATTTCCTCTGGTACATTAAGCAAATGGCAAATCTGCAAAATTATCACATTAATTTATCTTGTATGTATCCAATCTTCTAGTATTCGTGAAGCACTTCCACCTGCACTTTCCTAAAAACTTTTAAACAATTACAACCTCACTAGATGTGGCAGTGGCAATGATCACACAAAGAATCTTTTAAACTTTGCAAGTTCCTTGTGTGTTTACAGCACTTGTAGATATTGGATGGCTAGTACACCTTTCATGTCCTGTAGCATCTGACTTCCTTATAAAGAACTACCATAATCAGGCGACAATTGGAAATAAGTAGAACCAGATAACTCCATTCATAACATTCACTTCAATCAACTCTCTTCGTCCACAATTATGGTGTTTGAGCAAGTTACTCGTTTTCTGAATCTTATAACCTCCTCACATCATCAACACACTAACGTATATGATTACACTCTTGTAGCCTTGCTTATGTGTATACATGTCAAAATTCTTGAGATAAAAAACAAACCTGAGAGAACAGAGTTGCAGCTTGACAAGTGTCAACCATTATGAGAAGCTCCTTGAATCTGAAAATATATAACGAGTAATGAGAAAGTTATGGTTAACAGACTACAGACTTCTAATAATACTACATTAAGCCACAACAGAATTCTCTAGTATTAACTGTAACAGGTGATCAGAAACAAAAGTTGTGAAAGAAATAAATACATGGAAACAAGTGCATTTTGTCCCACCTATGTTTCTCCTTCATTTGTTTCACTGCATCAGCTAAATCGTGGCTCTGAAGTTCTTCTTTGTCTTGAAATTTCAAAAACTCATCTCCACCATGCCCAGTCATGTACAAAAGTATGTGGCTTCCTTCATCACTTAAAAGACGCTTTGATCTTGGTACAGCACTTTCATGCCTCCCGGTTAAAACGCGCAAAAAGTTTTCAACAGTCACTTCATACCCTCGATAATCCACCTGAAAGTTGGAAGCAAAGGTCAAGCAGTTTTCCAGTAACAACTTAAAAAATGTCTATGGTGAAATGAAAGATTTGATGCAGTTATGCTTAGTGTGACATTTCGCTGATTGCGCACTATCACTATTGATTTAAGGATTTTACAGGGACTCCTCTATTCCTATGGATTCATGAGCTGGAAAATTTAGGACCGAACAGATCACTATAGGCTTATTATAGCTGGAAGGAAATTTCATATATCTTTTGCATGGAACCATCCCAATTTAGAAGATGCTCCACAGTCAAGCCAATCCTGATGGTAAAAGGCTTACATGATGACTATGAGTTGGCCATATACTATAGCCATGTGTAACACTGTAATTTAATACAGAATGGCTTAGATGTGAATGACTATGATATATTTGATTATTGTATATTAAGGTAGAAGAAAATAACTATGAAATAATATTTTTTCTGCCCACGTTTTGTTAATTTACCCAATAACAGCCCTCAAAGTAAGCATCGCATCATAGATGATCTACAGTTAGAAATGTTGTCCTAAACCCCCCCCCCCCCCCCCAATTGAGATAAGTGGCATAAGGAAACATTGCACATATGCAGAAAATAAGAATGACTTGCCTGGTTTTCTTTGAGAAACCCAAAAAGGAAAGTCATCAAATTTCTGTAATATACAGTTCCCTTTCAGTTAGTTTGAAGTACAATACTAAATGTATATTCAACAAATTTCAACAAATAACATCAGAACTGGATCAGACCACAAGATACTTATATGGCTGAAAGCTTCTTTCCAGAGTTTTGATATATTAGATTTTCTTACAATAGAAAAGTAGGAATGTGAATACCCTTGCATTAAGATTTCTGCACTCCTAGAGCTACAAGGCATCTAGATATAGTTTAGACACTCACTTCAACATTGTCGCCATACAAGTTTAATTGATGGTTTTCATTGTTGAACACTTGGGCAGGGTAATTGTTCCTAGCATTACAAGCCATGTCATCAGCCAACATGAGTATTATGCGCTCATCAGGAATACCTAGTCGCTTGACTGTCCTGAGGCAGAAAAATTATACTTTACTTAGAAAGGCTTCAAAATAAAAGGTTGAAAAAAAAATGAGAACATG